GATATGGTTCTGGCACTGCAGGCAATGTCTGTGAGAGCTGYTACATGATTGTGCCAAAGATGAGAGACAAACTGGGGGAAACTGGTTTCCTGTTGATGCCTGGCTGGTGAAACTTGGCCTCCTGTCTTACAAAGTATTTATTATGCAATAGCACTGAAAGGCTCCATTCAAGGTTGGACTCTGTTGTTCTTTGTGTAAACAAAGATCAWCCCTGCCCTGCAGCCTGAACTGTTTGGAAATGATAAGCCAATCCTAAATTAAAAGATAGCTTTGATTATCTTAAAAGTGATGGGACATAAGACAAAGGCCTATGTGAGTGGACCCTGATTATCCATCACAAGATTTAACTTAAATTTKTGTAGAGTTATGCTGAATTTAATGCATCTGGTGTTGGGGCAAGACACATCGTCCTGCCACTGAGCAGTTTTGGTGGGTGTTGTGTGTGTGTTCCAGGTGGGAAATGTCTTATTTCACCAAACGAGGGATTTTTATCTGTTTACTCTACCTTGTGGCTGTTGCCGTACTGGGCTGTTGATTTAATTTTCCATTTTTATTCTTTTAAACTGTATGAGAACATTATATGGTTTCTGCATATTGTTGGTACATGGGTTTGTGAGGTTTATTTGTTGTTTTTTTTTTTTTCTTAACTCCTAAAAGTACCCAGGTACAAAAGAACAATTTCTTTAAATGTGCAGCTGTGGGAACTTTGAGAATTGTTATTTAATCCCYTCTTTGTCCCTTTCTGACAGACCAGAATAGGGAATCAAAGACTGTTTTGCAGCCATCTGGGTGTGTTAAGCCTTTTTTTGAGGGAAGTTGTGATCGATGTTTATCAGCAGTGTGGTGTAGCACAGGCAAATGTTACATTGGCCTTGATGCAATTCTCAGAATAGTTTTGAATCTGTTGCTTTGAGTCAAACTAATGTTTGGGGGGGTCTTCCTCTCTCTTTTTCCAGACACAGGCGCCTGGCATTGTTGAAGCAAGTGAGCATCAGAGAGAACTGCTGCACACTTTGCTGTGACGAGRTAGCAGACACCGAACTCAGGCCGTGTGGACACAGGTAAAACCTTAGAAAAACCCAAAMCCAAAGAAATAGGAAATTGTGTGTGACATTCAGCTTAGATGATGCCATATACAGCCCCTACTCATCTTTATTGAGTCTCCAGGAGAAAGGAAATAACCTCCCCTCCTTTTAAGGATATGACACGTAGATGTTTAACACAACATTCCTGCTGTTCCATTCATCCTAGACCTGAGCAGATTGAATCCCTGATTGTGTGTGTGTTTGGGGAAGTACTGAGGCTACATCTGTGTGCTGAGTCTTAATWCCCTGATGTCAAAGGCTTTACTGATTAGTACTTGTTACTGGTGCTGTGAAATCCAGATCACATGAGGAGAGCAGAAAATTCATAATATACTCATACTCATTAAGTGTTCAACAAATGGATTGTCTCAAGTGACAAATTCCTCTAAAAGCTAAAAATGGGACAGCAGTATSAATTATACCATAATAGCACTTTCCTGCTTTTAAGCAGCCTACTAGGAAATGAATCCAGTTAAGTCCTATTCCTTAGGGTTTTTAGGGCACTCATGAAAGGAGTCTTGTCATGTGTCTGGATGCTGGAAAGTTGAAAAGAGATGTGCCTGGTGTATGTGTCAACAAGAAATTGAGAAGCTGCTGCAGGGCCCTGGGGCTGCTGCTCTCCAGAGCAGAGTGCTGGGATTAATGAACACAGGGAAGTGGGATCCTCACCAACTGCAGGAGCAGCTGAAGGTCTGGGAGAGGCTGAGCAGCAGGAGCTCCTCTCAAAGCCTGTAAATGGATCCACAACACCTGACTTGCAATGCCTAATCTGCACKCTGAGGGACTTAACTTGGCTGTGTCTCTGGCAGGCTGACTAAACTGCTTAGTGCTTGTATTATTTGTTGTTTAGTTTTTCATACTGTGAAAGCAGGCTTTAATTGATTTTTCTTCTCCTTCAGTGACCTGTGCATGGAGTGTGCCTTGCAACTGGAGACCTGCCCTTTGTGTCGACAGGAAATACAGACCCGAGTCAGACAGATCTCTCACATTTCATGACACATGTGGAGAAATACCACAGACTTGTTTTTAAAGAACTCCAACCAATAATGAAAGGGGAAAGCATCTCTAACCAATCTTTATGCACATAGAACCATAGCCACGGCCAGATTTCATGCTAACCTGTAATCTGTTTATCTTAAAAGCGAAATCTTTAATAAGCTATTTCCAGCTGCCAGCAATGGGAGCTGGTTTCAGCAGTCAGGAGCTATGGCTATTGGTTCCTCCGAGCAAGAGCAGAGGGAGTTGTCTCTTCTTCCCCCTTTCYTTCTCGCCTGTCGCAAGTGCTGAAAAAATTTGCACTGGAAGTACACATACAATGCATTTTAGAACAGAAGAGGAAATAAGTATCTCCTAAAACAGGGCCGTGCTGTCTTGTGCTCGAAAGTCTCTATTTTTGGCAGAAGTCAGTACTAAAAAGAGAATGCCAATGTTTTCCTGTTTAATGTAGCCTCCTGCTGGTCAGAGACTCTGTGTTTTCCAATATTAAACTGCTCAAAGACTGAATCTGTACACAGACTGATTTGAAAAGACAGTGTGGAGACTGTAGAGAAACTCACAGGTTTTTAATAACTTGGTGATTCCAAAGAATGTTCTGATTTGTTTTTAAACGTTAAAAGATCAGTGGTATTTTCAAGTACATAATGTTTCTGATGCTTTTAACTTCAGTACCCACTTTTTTTGTGAGGTTATAATTTTCAGGAGGTATTCTTAACTAATTACAATGCTGGACTGGAATTAATTTGATATTCTGGGTATTTTTTAAGGTCTCATTGAACATCTTTTTTAATCAGTGTTGTTTTTGAAAGTTAGCTCAATTTTTCCAAAGTGAATATATCTTCAAATATTAGAGGAGAATTCTGGACCAGTTTATTTAAAACAAGGTTATTTGGATAGCAATTTCAGTCTTATTCTTATCTCCTTTAAAAATGCACCTTGCTTGCCACGTGTCAGTCCTGCTCTGAGCAGGTTTGGGGCCACACTTCCTATTTTTGGTAGGGACAATAYAGTGGGAATCTCTGCTCCACTTTAATTACACATTTGTGATGTTTGTATGTTAAGGATGCACTTCAGTAGGCAGCTCTTGACTTTTACTAGGTTTCTACAAGGAATCAGGGTTCACAGCTGGTGTCAGTGAAGTAGCACAAAAATCAGTGGGGTTCTGCTTATTTTGCACCAACTGAGGATATGACTCYGTCTCTTCCAAGTCTTGCACAGGTTGATTTTTTAAAATTATCTGTCTGTATAGTAGAACTTTACTAATTCACACACAACTTWCACCAAAACCATCCCACTTCTTGGCAGTGATTCAGCAGCAGAGGCTGTTGTAGTGAATTCTCATGGTGTGATGTAGCTTATTTTTAAAATCATTTATTATCTTTATTGTACTATGAAGTACTAACAGAGCAGAGCTGAGGCTCTTATTCCTGCTGAGSACTCTGGCTTCCTGCTGACCTCAGTAGGAGTTGAGAGCTCTGCGCACAGGTCCCAGAATCCAGCTCTCTAGCAACTCCTTTCACCTTCTGCCTTTGCTAACTCAAGGGTGCTGAACTTCATCCAGGGGTGTGTGAATTAGGAAAGTTCTGTCCATCATTTTCATGTTGACTTTTGTCCAAATGTAGACTGAATCCAGAAGCAGAGTGCTGGTTAATGTTTTTTGCTGAAATGTGGATTTTCTTCCACCTTGGCTGCCTGGTTTGATCAAAGTCAGACTGGCAAATTTGTGCCACAGGGATTTCATTTCCTCACTGACTGTACAATGTTTTGCTGTATCCATGTTTTCAGTCAGAGCCAAGACCCTTCCAGCTCGGTGTTAGATGAGCAAAYGTGACCGCCATCACTGCCACAAGGGTGTTAGAAATTCAGAATCACTTGAAATGAAGTTCTAAGCGCTTCCAAATGCAATGAGTTTTTATCCCTAAGGTACAAACTTACAMACTGTACTTTAGGGAAGAAGTGGGACAGAACCATTTTGCACTCTGCCTTAATAGAGTCTAGTAACTTCAGGGCTTTGGTTTCCCTGGCCAGGATTAACTGAGGTAAAATTTTCAGAAGTGCCTAGGACTCCTAATTTGTATCAACTGCTGTCTGAGATTAAGGTCTTCAGGCCCACCTCCACGATGGCTCCTAGGCATTTGGTGTCCCTTTGAAATAAAGGTGACATTAGAGCCTCAYTGCCTTTGTGGACATGGGACTAAGTGTTCTTTACGGAAAAGATGTGAATACTTTGGAAAATTTTGCCCCAGACCGTCTTCCATGCAGCTGGTGCTGGGCAGAGGAAGCCAACGGTGGCGGAGGAGRGAGCTGTGTTGCAGAGAACTGTCCTGTTCATTTCACAAAGGGAAAGATTGTACATTTTGACTGGCTTTCTGCCGCCATCCACGCCGGGGGCATCTTTGGCAAGCTGGATCCTCCATGAGCAGTGCGGTGTCACCCTCACTCCCTGCACCCCTATGGCTGTGGGGACAGGGRCGGGAGCTGGCGGCTCCACAGGCCCTCACACGGGGAAAATGAATTGTAGCAAAGTTGTCCATTCAACAATAAAAACATCCTGAAGGCTGGTGTTGTTCTTTAATTCTTTTTCGGCTGTGAGCGAGGTGCATGCATACCCTCGGGTGGGACATTCGTGCCGGGGAGCCCGGGTCAGCTCGAGGCTCGCTGGGCTGCAGCAGCCACGGACTGTCCCGAGCCCTCGGAGCTCTGCTGTCTGATGAGAAACGCTCTTTACCAAGGCCATTCCCAAAGCTCATCCCGCTGTCTCGCTGTCCCTCCCGCTCCCGTTCCCCAGGCCCGGCCCCGGCCCCGCGCAGGACGCGCTCCCAGCCCGCCATGCTGGGCCCCGCCGCGCTCTGATTGGCCGGTGGGGCCGGGGGCGGGTCCAGCGGGGCCGAGCCGGGCTGTGATTGGCTGCGGGCGTGGCGGAAGAGCGCGTTCCCCAGGAGACGGCCCGAGGGGAGGGGGCTCCGCGCCGGCCTGAGGGCGGTGGGTGCGGCGGGGGGCGCGGGGCCGCGGCAGTGGGAGCGGGACACGGGGCCGCTATACCGGGGAAAGGGGGGCTGGCATGGGGGCGTGGTCCCGGAACACGGGAGGTTGACACCGGGCTGGGGCCCCCAGAGCGGGAGAGGGGCCGCGATCCTGGGAACAGGGAGATGCCACTGCCGGGGCATTTTGTGGACAGGGAGGGTGGCGGCCGGGTGTGCTGGGTCCCTTTGAGGAGAGCCAGTGAGGTGGGCTGGGTGCCGGGGAGGGACAGGGATCACATCTCCTCCCGTGTGTGCGGTGATGCCCCGGGGCTGCTCCGCGGGCCGGCGGTGGCTGCAGCCCGG